CGGTACTGGCGTCCAGTTTTTATGGTGAGAGGTGATTTGATAGGATATATTAGGTAAAATAATAAATGTATTATTTATTAGTTTTGATATTGTTAATTCTTTGTTTGGTAGTGATTTTTAACCTGTAGATAAAATGATAAATAGAGGTATTAGTTATCCATCATTTCCAGTAGTAGTCTTGTACATATATAGCAAATCATAGCATTAGCAATACTATGACTTTTAATACACGGATAAGCATATATAAAGACAGAACTATACTATCAAAACTTTTAATAAATCAAAAAAACAGTCGATAAGATATAATCTCAGCATAACTGATCTCAACATTGCTAATCACAACATAACTACCTTATTTAGTACTATTCTTATATACCCTACCAAACAACTTCTGAGGGTTACGGTTCGTTGGTTCAAATACAAGTTATGTTGGGATCAGTTATATTGAGATTAGTTATACTAGAATTAATTATGCTGAGATTAGTTATCTGGTATTATTTTTTATTGACTGTTTGGTTTATTAATCCTGAGATTGTCAGTTTTACTATTTTATCCTGAAATAACTTATCTTGAGATTACCATTCACCCTTTGGCTGTCACAAATTATTCTGATACTATTTTTAATTTTGACATAAGTTCCAGAATTGGTAACCAAACAAGGAATAAGACAATATTAAATTTCTAATCCTGAAATTATATTGATTTATCCCCGTACCAAACCAACCCGAATATTTTATCCGTTATCTCCTTCTTGGTGTTAGGTAGCAGATTTGGTTTTGGATTTTTTTTTTTTCTTTTTCACTTCTTTTCTCTCTTGGAAGCAAAGTGCAAAATGACGACTCGATTCGATTTTCAATTCTACAAAATCAAAAATTAAAGAATCGATTCTAACTTTTTCACCAATTAAGACAGTAACGTTACGTGCTGCGTCGGTTCTCTTCATGTCTAATTGTTTCAATTCTTCTCGCTTATTTCAATTTTATGCATTAGAATTCAAAGTTTGTCTATTGTTGTATTTTATTCTTTTGTGTTTTTTGTTTTTAATCCTAAAGCTGGACACAACTGTGATCGGCACGTATTGAGTTGTTAGAATCTGCTACAATATTCTCGTTGTTTTAGTTTAAATCAAACTATTTGTTTATCCTGTTCCAAAAAGAATAAAAATTTTCTAATGTATTTAGAAATAATTTAATCTAAATTTATCATTAAGTTATACTCTTAATGAGAGGCTTTTAAGGTCATACAAATACTATAACATATTTAACACCACAAGTTTCAAAAAATTACATCCACACAAATGTTACTTTAGGTCCACATATTTCGAAAGTCTTTATTTTTTTCTTAAACTTTGTGCGCAATAAAATAGATTCACATAAATTGAAGTAGTATAAAATTCCGTGTAATCCGCTTTTTGCCAAGTTATGTTGAATGAGCACTTGGTTATTTTTTTTTCTCTATATATTTTCTATTTTCATTTTAATTCTTGCTCTCCATTTTTGTGGCAATTCCAACCTGAGAATCGCTACACTATCTAATGCAGACGGTAAGGATAATTTCCTCCCATATACTCTTATCAAGCATGGGACTACTGATCTCTATAAAGTTACTCCCTCCGATTCACTTTAAGTGATTTTTTGACTTTTTTTATATAGATTAAGGAACTCGCTTTTTAGCATTAATTAATAATAAAATTGACTATATTAACCTTAATTTACTTATTGAAAATATAACAAACTATTCCTAGGCTCTTTATTCAATGGCGACTTCTGAAAGAAGAAGTTAATTCCTTCTAAAAAAATTATATATTGTGGACCATAAAAAAAATAATCAAAAAATCACTTAAAATAGGAGGGAGTATTAGTATGGCTTCCCTTACTTTATTCCTCATGATAGATTACTGGTAAAGAGTTGTTTAATTTGTTTGTAGACAATTATGCTTTTTCCCCCACATTTTTGTTCTAAATACCAATTAGGAAAGAAACAAAATTTGTTACTTTAGACCTTCTTCGCCTTTTACTCTTCCCATTTTTTAAGATTGGGCATTGCACATTGGCTTCTCCCTACGAAGAGTTGTAATTAGTTAGATCTGAGTCACCAAAAGATAAAGTCTGAAAGTTCATTTTATCAGATCACGTGACAAGTCTATAATGTAAGATCCTTTTAATACACCCATTTAATGCCACGCCCCCACCCCTTTATCAAGATTGTTCTTTCAATTATCAGCAACGTTAAATGATATTTATAAGGCAAAATACATAAACGATCCCTTTACTAATTACACGCTTTCCTCTTGAATGAAGTATGACCTCGTAAACTCCTCGCGCTAACATGGCAAAGTGTGTCACGTGAAACCCTTAAAATCAATTTTCTTCTTTACCAACTCCACCACTGCTACTGCCGCCATCATAAGAACTCCGTCCACCTCCTTCACCACTACTTTAGCTGCCTCCGCCACATACAAAAAAAGCTTATCAAAGACAAATCTTCAATCCGTCTCCACCAGCTCCACCAACCTTCAATACTTCGTATCCTTTTGCCATCGCTCCCGACGGTTCTCCTACCAACTCTCCTAATTTTTCTTCCTTGAATAGAGTCGTCGTCGCCGGATCTGTTGTTGTAGCTGTATTTGCTGGTTTAGATCTCTGACATTCACGTGCTTGACCACTGTTGATTTAATTTTACTATACCTAATTTATTGCTGAATATTACTACTGGATTCTTTATATATTTATGGAGATACTATGATGTATTCATCTTAGCTCGCCTCTAATTGTGTGGGTCAAAATCAAATCAGAGAAATTCTACATGCGCAGACAATTGTCTTGAGTAACCTGCGAATCGAATTGAGCTGTCTGGCCGAGGTCGAGCAGTGATCGATAAAGCCGAGGTCGAGCATTGATCAATAAGGCCGAGGTCGAGCAGTACAGATAGATGTAATGACTAGTTTTGCTTTGGAATCTTCAAAGAGAATATTCTACTGAATATTCCCTCTAATTGTACTTTTTTAGGGTTTTCTAGGGATATCCCTTATAAATAGGAAGAGAGGACTTCTCTAGAGGGGGGCAGACTCTTTATCTCTAAATAAAATAAAAACAGATCTCTCTAAATAGATTAGATGACCTGTTATCCCACACTCCCCATCAGATCCGAAAAGGTCCTAAGATTCTTGTATTTGTCTATCATTCATCTTTATCAAATGAAAGAGGATCCGCCTCTCTCAAGATTGGGTGAATGTTCTCCTTTATTTACATTTTATCGCCATTTAATGTTATTAAACGCATGGTCTTTTTCATACTATTAGATCCGGCCATAACTACTGCTAACATTTGTACTCAACTATATTTTCCTATTCATGTTATCCATCTCAGATCTAGAATTAATTATCCTTAACTAGGATTTACCCTCTATCTTCTTATTTAATTAGTTTAACAAAAGGTCTCATATTTTTTGGTCAAACAATTTGGCGCTGTCTGTGGGGATTTCCTACTTAAAATTTTAGTTTCCTCTTAATCTAAAATTCAATTGTAGTTACACTTTGCGTTCATTGTAGCGTCACCCTTTCGTTACAAATGCAAACTTGAAAAACTGTAGGCAAAAGCTTTAAAGCATGCCTTTGTGATATCTGTAGCTTAACTTTCTCCCTCTCCTTTGATCCTTGTGGTGTTTCGTCCTTTCTAATAGGCACATTTTCTACGTACAATAAGTGTCATTAAGGAAGCAAAGGTTAAAAATAATTTTATTAAAAGTAACTCATCTCATAAAGATGTTTGTGGTATATTGTCAGTGTTATGCAGCACTATACCAAGTTCCTAAACTCAAGATTGGTTTTGTGCACCTAAGATTGGATTGGGTTACAAACGCGTCGGGATCGGGACTGGGACTCGAACTCGAGGTCCCAACAGGCGAAGTAATTTGCCAGTCCATAAGATGCCCAGATATGACTAACAACAAAGCCGAGCACTAGGCCGTGATTGCAGGTCTAAAGCTAGCACTCGAGTACGGAGTAAAACGAGTCATCCTACAGTGCGACTCTCAGCTCGTTGTCAATCAAGTCACAGGGACTTTCCAAGTCAAGGAACAAAGAGGGTGTTTGGATTGGCTTTTAAGCCGTTCAAATCAGCTTTTAAGCTCTTTTTAGCTTTTTGAAGTGTTTGGAAAAGTAAAAAAAAAGTTCTTAAAATAAGTTAAAAACTGCTTAAAACAAGCCAAAAACAATAAGATGGACAAACCCAACTTATTGCTTTTTGGTTTAAAAGTTATTTCTGCTAAAAAGTCACTTTTGTAAGCCAATCCAAACGGGCTCAAAGACTGCAAAAATACCATGCCGAGATCTGCAAGCCGTTACCCGAGTTCAATGAATGCCAGCTCGATCAAATCCCTCGAGCACAGAATATATATGCAGACGGCCTTGCCAAATTGGTAGCGGCCACTAAAAGCATAACCGAAGAAGGGAACGTGGTCACTCCCCTCCACTCGTCGACCGATCAAATCGAGGTAACGAACGATTTTGTTTGGTTTTAATTGACTGTTTTTCTAAGTGGAATAGAAGCAGGAGCATTCTCTTAAATACACGAACAGGGAATGATCCTCGTCAAAGCAAATCCGAATATGCCAAGAGACCATATAGACTGGGACTGGATTGCCAGCCCAGAAAA